ATATATATATATCACGCACATGCACATACAGATACATGTACATACACAGATTCATTGACATATACACATACATACATACATACATACATACATACATACATACATACATACATACATGTACATACAAACCTAAATATGTGTATGTACACAGTTATCTGCATACATATATGTATTCATATATACAACTATATACCACAACATGGTAGATGCTGTCCTGATGGCCGAGGAAGGACAAGTACAACAAGAAGCTGAGAAAGTATCTTGTTGATGTTGATGACGAGGAGGAGTCGTACGAGCATCATGAAGAAAAGGAGATTGAGGAGGAACAGGGAACTGGGGCCGCTTGTTCTTAATTGTTATGATCATATTCTTGCCGTGTTCTTTGAAGCTGTTAATTGTTGTGTTTACCTAGTTGTGTGGCTCCATGTGCACATACAACTCTAGTTGAGGAGGGGGTGAAATTCAAGCTCTTGGACAAGCATGGCAAGAGCAAGAAGAAGCCCACTGAAGTGCATGATTCTGGTGATGAAGACACCGATGATGAAAAGCCTGCGGACGAGGTGACGCACGCCAAGCAGGACAGACTCTGTGCAGTTAGATTACTTTACAGCAGTACGTAAAAGTGAGACCGTATCTGTTAGTTTTGCTGACGAGGTGTTCCAGTCCTTCAAGAAGTTTGGCGACAGCCTGCTGACACGCAGTGGCAAGCTTGAGGATCTGGCTTCGGCTGTAGAATCCTACTTGTCGGAGCTGGAGGATGGTTCCAACGATGTCAAACGTATCACCAAGTGCTGTGGCTGCATTTTACTGTTCCATGCACAACTATTGACATCATGTATGAACATGCAAGGTAGAACATGAAATACATACATCTATCCGAGCGATCTTTCGAGGTGTGTCGAGGCCCTAGCGACGGCCGGGAAGATCCTGGAAACGGAGTGTCAAAAGGTCGAGACAACGAAGGCCGAGACCATGAGGCTTTCGACTGAGAAGCTGGATGAATCTGTTGAGAAATCGCTCCTAGTTTGCACGAGAGTTGTGGTCTAGAGACTCTAGACCAACACAGACGCACGCATGTCCACATGTGCTCCCACAGAGGCTGATGGAAAAAATCCAGAAGCAGATCGAAAGCACGAGTGTGGAGTGCCCAGACTGCAATTCAAGCCTTCAAGCGACACCTGTCCAAATGGTGTTTGCCCTAAAAACCATAAACCCTATCAACTCTAAACCCTTGCCTTCCTGGCCTGCATGTCTCTTTCAGGTGCAGCAAGGTCACGACGTCGGAGAGCACGGCGAAGTATCTTGGCGTCTTGAATTAGCAATGATCGTGAGGTTCTACGGGTTCGAAACTAAGGAACTTGCTGAAGCACCTCCGGCACCTACATGGCTGAACGAGCGCTTTTTTCTTTAAGGGGGTCCCTGAACCTCGAGAACCTTCTTGCTTGCTGGCAATGGGAACTGCACCCCAATCGATAAGCGCCTCTTTCTTTATATGTTCAGGGGTACCTCTACGAGTCTCTATAGCTCCCAGGGTTGGCACACTGCGGGAGGGAGGGGTTCAGACGGGGTACCGGAACGAATTATGTTCCGGAAGTCAGAGCTGGATACTTCCAGTTCTCAATTGGCTACTAGAGCTGGGGAAGGACCAAAAACATCCTATAATGACTCGATCCTTAAAGGCCTTATAAGCCCGAACCCTGTAAACCTCTCCAATATCTTGACCAAATCCCTACACCCCATCGAACCCTGAACCAAAACTTCCCTAAACAACCCAAGCCTTATATAACCTGACAAGCTTATATGTTTGCGGTGTGTCTCCGGCGGTGCCCTTTTGTGCACTTTGCTCCTCTAGAGCTAGAAGAACGATTTCTAGCGGCTGGCTGCTCCTGGCAGTCCTGTTCCGAAGTCTGTGGCCGAGAGTGAGAACAGGCCACTGGTGGAAAAAAAAAACACAAAGCTTGCAGCATCTCACCCTCCAATCCCCATTGTACTTTGAGGCACAAGTACTATCTACGTATAGATGTGGGGTCAGGTATCCTCTTTCGCTGCAGACCTAATGCTCGATTCTGGCCTAACCCCTGAAGCGTCAAAGAAAGCCACAAAGTAATGTTCGGGAAAACCCTCAAAACCTCTATCCCTCGGGCTATCTACTAGATAGCTATCCAGCTAGCTAGGTAGGTGGGTAGGTAGGTAGGTAGGTAGGTAGGTAGGTAGGTAGGTAGGTACTTACTGTAGGTAGATAGATGGGTGTTTATGTGTGCATACATATATATGTGTAGGTATGTATGTATGTATCTATGTATGTATGTATGTATGTACGTATATGTGTATATATGTATGCACGTATGTATGTGTGTATGTATGTACGTATGCATGTATATACGTATGTATGCGTGTATGTATATATAACTATGTATGTACATACACATATATGTATGTATGCATCGGGAAAGCCTTGTGTGCAAATGTACATAATATCAGCCACATGCAGAGTCTGCAGTAATTCGAAAGCGCACCCTGAAGCTTTCAATAAAAGCGAGAAGCCTCAAATCTTTTCAAGGCCTACGTATCAGCCATCTTTAAAGAGCAATGCTTAACCTCAACCCCTGAAATTGAACCTTGCACCCTTGAAATCCTAAAGCCCTAAATACCCCGAAAAGCCTTTACCCTGTGTTTCGCCAGGATGGGAGCCTGGTCCCGTTGTTCGAAGTCTGGCAAAGCTGGTCGCGAGAGGAGTTCCGGCCTTGGCAGTGGAATGGTCTTCGTGGCATAAATAATCGTAACTTCAAAAGGTTCTGTAGAGGTCATATGGGTACCACGCACCCCACTTCTTCTGACAAGTCGATGGCAAGGCTTTAATTGTTTTGGTCGTGGCATTCGACGAGAATATAGAAAGGTAAGACTGAAGTTAGGGGGCTATGTATACAGGCTCTAGAGCTGGTTTTTGTAGGCCTATCTACCTATGTATTTAGCTATGGTCCTATCAATCTACTTATCTTTGCATCTCTCTAGTAATACCGTTACGTAGATATGTACGTAGTCTGCAAGCTCGTTTACCTTGCACAGACTTTTGTACAGTGTCTGGGTAGGGATGTAATGAGGGTTCGAGGCTACATGGTCCTTCGATCCGCGATGCTTGCCCTGTCACAACCACTGCCTGCCCTAGAGCTGAGTGAACTAAGTTGCTGCTACGCTTAGGTACAAGGTTCACAGCATCTGTTACGCAGCATTTCTGTTCAGTAGTCCAGTATGTGTTAGATGTGTATATGTATATAGTTGGTGTCGTTAGCAGCTTAGAGGCTTAGTGCCATGAAGTACTTCATGTCGTATGGACATTGTGCACGTGCATCGGCTCTCCAAACTTGTAAGTTGTCTTTCAAAGGGTCGAATACCCCTAGAAGGATATCCTGTCAAAGTATGCTTGGGTTATATAAACTTATATAGTTATGATATAACTAAGACATTGATGGGTTGCATTCTTGCCGTCGTAGATACTTGTTGCACATATTATTCTGCAGGATATCAGTTAATCTTCTAGACCCCTGCCCAAATGGAAGATGATTTCCTGCTGGACCTGTTGACCTATGACTGCCCGATAACTGACAAGAAACGCTGTGCTGCATATCCTGATGACAACTTCCTGGGCGAGACTTCGTGGACACCATGCAGCACTAGAACTGATTCGATATTTTGCGAGGTGGTAGAAATACAGTTAGGCTGCATGGGTCCCCCTTTATGTGTTTCCGAATTAAGGAGCAGCACACAACCAGTTCTGAAGCTGAACTTCTTGGATCAGTCACCTACGCCCAGCCAAACCTGGTCAACTTCATCCAGCTCCGGAACACCCGAGCCCCCAGCAAGCGAGAGCTTGTGTCGGCCCCAGAGAAGCTCCAAGGCGTCCAAGGTATCTTGGTCGAAGAGGTGATACAGTTGTAGTTTTGAGCACTCTTCATGCAATGTCAAGTCAGTCGGTGTGATTTACTTCACGAAGCAGTACATCATCACGGGCCGGGGATTCCTTAAGTAATTGATGCAAGTTGATTATTTCATTCGGGCTTCTAGAAGTTAAGATCATAAACTGTATCTGTCTGGTTAAGCTTCAGCCTGGGTTTTCTGTGCGCACTAGGAAACCGGTAGTGTTAACGAGTTTATCTTCATGCTTGGTGTGAAGTCAAGCTTTACTTGGGCTTTGGGTATTTGTCGTTCTCTATAATCTGTATGGCTGCTTGCACAAGAACTAAAACTATATATTCCTTACCAAGATAGCTACGACATGATTGGAGTGCCGGGGGAACTGAAATACTTCCTGCTGATTAGGAGGCGGCATGACAAGTATTGAGTTTTAGATAGTATTTCTAGGTAGGTGGTACAACTGCTGCTGTTCATTGATCCCAGGTTGAAACTTCGGGCTCCGGAAACTGCTGCTTGGAAGAACTCGCTGCAACAGCTGACCCAGCTGACCTGCCGTGGCAAAGCCTTCGTGAACATGGCCTGACAAAGCGCCTGATGCCCCCAAGGAGAATTTCAATAACTAGTTCTCGCATCTTACTTCATTGCAAGCAGATGATTGATGCTTTCCGAGAAAGCATGGGCATCAGCATAACTGTTTTCAAGATAGGTGTGACCTCCAACCCTGTGCCTCGCTTCGTGCTCTATCGCACAAAGCATTTTACAAACATGTGGGTCATTCACTCAAGTATGGATGTGAAGGAAACCCACATGCTGGAGGCTGCACTCATCTTGTTCTACCAAGATTGCGTGGGTTGTCAGAACAAACCTAACAGTGGCGGGGAAGGGGCCCTGAATCGGAAAACTGCAGTGGGACCATTCTACACCTATATCGCTGGTGGTAGAGCTGACCAGAACAAAAGAGTGGGGTGATTAGATTAGGTAAATAGATTTCCTCGGAATATTGGGCCATTCAGGTTATACTTCCGGCTGAATCGTGGAACTGAAGTGCCCTGGCCCCGCATTGTGCAATTGTACATGGACTTCGTGGCAAGAGCTACAGGGGAGCTTGTGCCGCAGGAAAACTTGATTGCACTGCCAGGCTGCTGTGGAGCCCACACGTGCAAGAGCATTATATATACTGCATGCATGAGCATCACTGCATCAGAGAGCGAGTCAGCATGTGTGCAGCACCACGAGCATCAGATGGAGTTCTGTCGTGCGATGTGTTTCCCGTGCTGAGGCTCCATGCAAGCACGCTGTGGAGCAGGCGCAGGCGGCTCTGAAGGAAGCAGGTGGAGTTGGGACACCTGCCTTGAAGGAGTTTGCTGCAATCAAACTAAATGATGCAGAGTCTCCCGCCCACAAAATTTTTCACAAGTACGGGCTTGCTGCGGACGTAGCTATGAAGACGCTGGACGTTGGGTCTGGGGAACTCAAGAAATTCCCATACTTGCCGTTTTCAGAATGGGTCAAGTTTTTGCTAGACAACGACCAAGTTGAGCAGCTGGTTGGAGTGCCAGCACAGGAGAGACCAGAACTCCTTCAAGAGTTCTGGTGCAGATACGAGCGGCTGCATCCTGCTCATGACATATTCGAACTTAGTCGCCAAGGACGTGTCAACCTTCGCCAAACCATACCAGTCTTTTGTCATGTGGACGACGGGCGCACGTATAAATCCAAGGGTCTTCTTGTACTTTCCGTGCATGGAGCTTTAGGCCAAGGAACGGCTGCATACAAGCGCCGCATGGGGGTGAGGAAGACCATCATGAAACAGAACCCAATGGGCATGAACTACATTGGCAACACGTGGGGAACACAGTTCTTTTTCTGTTCCTTGCTGCGATCAGCGATTGCAGAGGATGAGGCTGTGCTCGACAAGGTGCTGTCCGTGTTCTCCAAGGACATGGAAGAGCTCGCAATCAGTGGTGTCCAGAACACCCGGGGAAATGATCGTTTGTGGTGCCAGCTCCTTGCAGTCAAAGGCGATTTACCGGCTTTGGCCAAAATCGGAAATTTTGAGCGGCACTATCTTCGAGCTCCCAAGCGTGCCACGTCACGGTCGGCATGCATTGGGGTCTGCTGGTTGTGCAAGGCTGGGCAAGAAACCCCGAATGTCATACCGTATGAGGACTATCGCGAGACGTCTTTGTGGCGCACCACATTTTTGAGTGACAACCCGTGGCTCACCCGCCCAGCCATTCTGGGGTCCATACCGGTTGACAGAACATCGGAGCCCTTCTTTTTCCGGACTGACCTGTGGCACAACTGGCACAACGGCCTCAGCAAGTACTTCATCGCCAACGCGATGCACTTGTGGATTGTGACGCCAGATTTGATCCCGGCTGGAACGATCGAACTCAAGTTCAAATACTTGACGCAGGACTACTTGAACTATTGCTCCAAGGCAAGACTCACACCGTATTTGAAGGAAATCAATCGTGACACGATTTCGTTCGAAAGCGCCCAGAGCCAACCGCACGGGTGTTGGAACAAGGCCGTAGTGTCCACCCACCTCATGCTCTACCTCCAGGACTTTTGTCTTCGTTTCGTGGATGGCAAGTTTGATGAGGATTACTTGTTGAGGACCGTGGCACCTTTCCATAGAATCAGTATGTGGGTTGCCGTTTGGTCGACTATATACACACCATAGAAAGCTTGTGAAGTTTCTTGACAGATATTATGTATAAGCTTATATAGACTTGTGCAACACCAAGGCAAAGTGCATCCGCATCATGAACATCTTCATATCCAGCTTGTACTCTGAGGGATTTTGGATCCCTTCGGCAAAAGCACGTGAACTGGGAAACATGTTGAACCGTTTTCTCGTACTTTATGGTCGGTGTGCTGCAGTTGCTTTGGACCGAAAGATGGACAAGTTTACGCTTGTCCCTAAGGGGCACATGCTTGATCATCACGCCTTCGATTTAGTGCGGCAGGCTGGTCTAGCTGAATGGGTTGAAAACCCGCTTAGCACGGCCAACCAACAGCAAGAAGACTACATCGGGAAACCATGCCGCCTCTCGAGGCGAGTCCATGCATCCAAGATTCACCTACGGGTGCTACAAAGGTCATTGCTGGCCAGTAGTGAGCAACTGCAGGCTGGGCGGGCCTAGATCCTTAAGGTTTTAGTTGAAGTAAGCCTTTCAAGAATATATGTCTGAAGACCGATGCTGGGGCTCCCGGCCCAGCCAGCAGCATGAGGATCTCCGAGGCCACCAGGGAGTGGAGAGAAAGGAAGAGTGGTGTTTTAGCAGGGTTGGGTTGTGTGTTTCAGTGAGGGAAGGGCTATGGGGATTTATCGTATCTTAGATAGGGTTCTCGATTGGGATGAGTGTATAAAGCATTTAAGAGGTCCATTCTTGCTGCAGTTATAGCTTTGATGTACTTCCGAAGGGTTTTTATTTCTTACATTTGTAAGTTTCATGGGGCCCAACCATCTTTATACAACAGGAGTAGATATGCATGATATACTGTGACCTGCTTTCAACACTTGCAACCCGTGTTTAACTTTAGTGCCCGAGTTTAGACATGCTTTGAAGGACAGCCCTAAAAACACAGGCCCCGCAGGCTCCAGGTAGGGTTTAGGGTTTAGGGGTTTAGGGTTCAGGGGTTTAGGGTTTAGGGTTTGGGGTTTAGGGGTTTAGGGTTTAGGGGTTTGGGGTTGAAAGGGTTTTGGGGTTTAGGGTTTAAAGGGTTTAGGGGCTCAGGGTTTAGGGGCTTCGGGTTTTGGCGGTTTAGGGGTTTAGAGTTTGGTTTTTTTGGGTTTCAGGCTTTAGGGCTTAATTTCTCGGGTTCTGAGGAAAAGGGCTTTAAGGGTTTACTGTTCAGGGTTCCGGTTTTGAGGAAGCTGGATTTAAAGTTGTTGTTTCTTTTAGGGTTTAGGGTTTCTTTGCTAGGGTTCTGATCAAGGAGAGCACCAACACAACTTAAAGAACAAAAGGACCCTAAACCCCAAAGCCTAAACCCCAATTCCTAAACCCCAAACCCTAAACCGCAAAGCCTAAGCCCCAAAACCTAATCCCTAAACCCTAAACCCCAAACCCCAAACCCTAAACCCCAAACCCCAGACCCTAAACCCCAAACCCCCAACCCCCAGATCCCAAACCCCAAACCCAAAACCCTAAGCCCTAAACGGCCCTCAACCCTAAACCCTAAACCCCAAACCCCAAACCCTAAACCCTAAACGGCCCTCAACCCCAAACCCTAAACCCCAAATCCTAAACCCCAAACCCTAAACCCTAAACGGCCCTCAACCCCAAACCGCAAACCCTAAACCCTAAACCCTGAACCCCAATGCAATATGTAGACCTCGAGAGCCTGCCGCAAGTCTGAGCCTGCCCTGGGAGTCGGCGCAGAGCAGCCTGGACGGGAGCAGGCGGGCAGTTCAGAGGAGGGTTTAGGGGTTTAGGTGTTTAGGGCTTCAGGGGTTTAGGGGGTTTAGGGTTTAAGGGTTTAGGGTTTAAGGGGTTTGGGGTTTAGGTGTTTAGGGCTTAGGGCTTCAGGGGCTTAGTTTAGGGTTTAGGGGTTTAGGGCTCCAGGGGTTTAGGGTTTAGGGTTCAGGGGTTTGGGGTTTTGGGGTTTAGGGCGATCAGGGGTTTAGGGTTTAGGGCGATTGGGGGTTTTAAATAGGTTTAGGGGTTTAGGGTGTAGGGCTTTGCAGGTTCGTGGTTCTCTGTTTCCTTGACGAGTTGAGAGGGTTTAGGAGCTTGTTTTGGATCATACGGGTGGGCGGTTAAGAAAATGTGGAAGATGCTTTAGGGGTTTGAAGGCGCTTCCTTGAAACCTCTATACCCAAAACCCTAAACCCTAAACCCTGACAGCCCTAAACCCTAAAAGCCCTAAACCCTAAAAGCCTTAAACCCTAAACCCTAATCCTAAGACCCTGATGCACTGGAGGAGTTTGATGTTCAGGGATGAGGATTCGGAGTATGTGGGGTTTGAAGGTTTTAGACGCTCACATGGGTTCTGGTTCATGCGACGGTTCTGATAATGGCTCTATGATGGTTTCACTGGTGTTCTGTAAGGCAGTTTCGGGCCGTGGCGGACCCTAGCCGATCCAGGGTTTGCTCTGGGGGTGTAGGCGTTTCGGGATTCATCGTTTGAGGCAGGCGGCTTGGACGTCTAGGGTTGGGCGTTTACGGACCAGGGTGTAGGGTTTCATCAGAGTTTTGGGTGTTGTGCTTCGGGGGAGTGCTCTTTGGGAGTCGCCCGGACTTTGATTTCGTGGGTTGTCGGGTATGTTCGAGTAGTATAGCTAGCAACATCTAGTTGTTCAGACCTCCACAATACACCTCAAACCCTAAACCCCTAAACCCTAAACCCCTAAACCCCTAAACCCTAAACCCTAAACCCTAACCCCTAAACCCAAACCCCTAACCCCTAACCCCTAAACCCCTAAACCCTAAACCCTAAACCCTAAACCCCTAAACCCTAAACCCCTCAACCCGTAAACGAGGCTGTCACCCTGCTCCGACAAATCAGCACCAACCTCGCGGCACTTCACGAAGCAGGCAGCCGAGGATTTAAGTTTTTGTTCTTCTTGTTTAGGGTTTAGGGTTTAGGTTTTCGGTTCAGGGTTTAGGGTTTAGGGTTTAGGGTTCAGGGTTTAGGGTTTTTCTTTAGGTTTTGTTTTGGGGAGTTGTTTTGGGTTCTAGAGGGGGCTGAAAGGTTCAGGGGCTTAGGTTTGATGGGCTTCGGGTCATAGGAAGCCAACAGCTCAACAGTGTCAGGGTTGAAGGTCTTGCCTGAACCCGATAGACCCTAAACCCTAAACCCTATAGACCCTAAACCCTATAGACCCTAAACCCTATATACCCTAAACCCTATAGACCCTAAACCCCAAAGCCAAAAGCCCCAAACTTACTTAACCCCCGAGCCTCTTCCCATGAGACCCCTGAAGCTCAATGACTGAGCACTGTAACCTCAAACCCAAGCCCTTAAAGGAGCCCTATAGATCCCTTAAAGGAGCTCTTAAAGGAGCCCTATACAGATCCCTTAAAGGAGCCCTTAAGGTCAGCGGTCTGGACACGCAGAAATAGCGCGCAACACTCCAAAACCTATTTTGGCTTCAAACTCCACTATCAAAACCTGTAAGACCCTATGACGCCTCTATCGTGGCACTGAACCCCCGATGCGCTACTCAGTTGCAGCAGCTAGGGTCCTTTTTATAAGACGGCAGTACTATGTTGGGACCCGAAAAGGTACCCTGATTTAGAGAACTACCCATATTATATCTGGAAGCCGAACTCGCAACAGAAAGCCCTGCACCTTAAACCCCGAAACCCTAAAGCCTGAACCGACAGCCCTGCAGGCATTGCCCACACGTGCATCTCACCGAGCTCAGTCGCTGTTGCGCAGAATGGCTCCTTTACGTTGCGTGGCGAATCATGGAGGATTTAGGGTTTGCGGCTTAGGTCCGAGCCGTTGGGTTTGGAGTTTGTAGGGCTCAGGGACTGGTTTAGTTGCCCATTCCATTTCTCACACACTCTGCACACTCGCGACAACGACAAACTACAAGCCAGCAGCCTGCGCCTGCTTCCATTGCTGTTGCTGTTGCGCTGCAGGTAGTAGTCTCGAGCCTTTTTTCGCGGACTCATGTTTACTTAAACGCTAGTATACCGAGCATGCAGTCAGCACGCTGAACAGTAGGAGTCCGGATTCGTGATGATCACTTGTCATACAAGGAATACTCACCCTAATTACACGTATTTCCTAAACCCAAAAAACCCGTAAACACACTTAAACTCTAAACCCATCAAAACCCAGAAGCCCTAAACCCTAAACTTTAAACCCATCAACACCCAGAAACCCCAAGCCCTAAACTCCCTAAACCCTAAAACAAAAAACCTATAACCTAAACCCAATCCTGATGCCTAAACCCCAAAACCTTCGGCCTAAATGTAGGGGCCTTAATAATTAGAATAGGGTTTTGTGGGTTCCTTTGTAGTTATTACAGTATAACGTACCCCATTACCCTTTAAAGGAACCCCCACAACCCTAAACCCTTTAAAGGAACCCTATTTCCTCGAGGTGTCGACTGGGTGACTTCTTGCCGAAGCTTCGGGCGATGATGGCGTTGAAGCGTGGATGGTCCGAGAAGGATCCTGGAGGGCTTGAGGGTATTTAGGGTTTAGGGTTTAGGGTTTAGGGCCTCCTGGAGGGTTTAGATACTATGGGGTTTAGCGGTTTAGGGTTTAGGGTTCAGGGTTTATCGGTTTAGGGTTTAGGGTTCAGGGGTTTAGGGTTTAGCGTTTAGGGCATAAGGGTTTAGGAGTGAAGGGTTGGGCTTTGGAGTTTTGGGGTTTAGGGCTTTAAGTTTTGGGGGCTTGGGGCTTAAAGGGTAGGGTTAACTGCGAATCGGGTATAGGGGTTTGGGAGTGAAGGGTAGGGCTTCGAGTTTAGGGGTTTACGGTCTGGGGCATTCAGGACTTAGGGCTTACAGGGGCGGGCTTTCGGCTATTAGGGATCAGTGACTTTTGGGGGGGGTTTAAGGCTCTAGGTTTTAAGTGTAGGGGTTTAGGGCTTAGGGTCCGGGGTTTAGGGTTTACGGCTTAAGGTTTAGCGGTTTAGGGCTCGGGGGTTCGGGGATTTAGGGTTTAGGGGTTTAGTGCCATAGGGCTTGGGGTTTAGGGGTCTAGCGGGTTAGTGCTTGTGAGCATTGGGGGTTTGGGATCTCAAAGAGTTTCGGGGTTGTGGACCCCGGGGAACCTGGGCCGTTTGGGGCTGCAGAGCTTGATACTTTGGGGTTGAGGGGGTTTAGGGTTTAGGGTTTAGGGTTTAGGGTTTAGGGTTTAGGATTTAGGGCGTGAGCTTTATGAGCTGTTGCTGTTTGTGGGTCGTTTGTTGACGTGTTTAGGGCCTTAAGGGTGTCGGTTTGAGGTTCACCTTTTAAATTCTGTACTAGTAGTAGTAGTGGTAGTAGTAGTAGTAGTAGTAGTAGTAGTAGTAGTGCTAGCAGCAGTAGTAACTTAGCAGTAATAAAAGGAAGTCGTGAACAGTAACATGAGTAGGAGCAGCAGCAGCAGAAGTACAACTAGAGGTAGCGTCACTGTAAGAATGCCGATGTGGGAGTTTCCGAAAAGAAGACGGAATTATTAGGATCCTTACGCCAAAC